TATCACTTCACGATTTGGAGACTTCGATGCAGATAATGAGACTACTGATGTTTGACGACTTCTGAGCATCTGCCAGACTGGGTTCATTACAACCGCATCAGTCCCGTTCCTTTTCCCCCCGGCAAGTGCTATAAAAAAACCCTTGAAATCTCCACGTGGCACGTTGCCAATTTCACCATACGCAGGGAAAAGGGGTAAAATACTACCAGAGGCTGTATTGAGGCACCAACAAGTCCACCAGCAAGTCCACGAGCAAGTGCACCAGCAAGTGCACCAGCAGTTACTCCTCCCGTAGGCTCAAATGAGCGACAGTAAATTATTTTTTTCACCCTCCGACCTGTTAGTTAACTTAGTTGTATATTGGGCTATGCAGACTTGATGCCTCTGATGGTCAAAGCCTCCACAATTTTCTCCTTTTGCTTTTTTGCCCCCATTTGCATCTGTACAGCCTGTAGTTTATGTCCCATTGACAGAACCAAAGGTGGATTTAAAACAGTAGTGAGAAAACAAAAGAATTACGTTTTGTCAGGATCTATATGGAGAGGTCCATTTGTAGATGCCTGGCTTTGAGGCCAAGTGTCCTCAATGGAGGAGGAACCCTCATCATAGCCATGATGTAGAGAATGGGCCCGTCAGCAGGTATAGGACAAGCTGTGGACCAGAACCGCCCTCGGGTCGGAAGCGTCGGAGTCAGCTTTGGGACCAGCATTGGGGACTGCACATAAGTCCCAAGCAGGTCCCAAACTGGCCCAAAACTGGTCCCAAACTGGTCCTACACTGTACCCAAACTGGCCCCAAACTGGTCCCAAAGCTGGACCAAAGCTGGTCCCAAAGCTGGACCAAAGCTGGTCCGGAAAGCTGGGACCAGCCATAAGGGGCAGAGAAGTAAACTGCAGCAGGATTGTCGTTCACTCAGTGAAAATTTCACATCTTTGACTATGTGACGATCGTCTGTCATTGCCTATTTGTTCTCTGCGTGAATGGCACCACCAAGTAGGCATTGATCAACAATGGATGTCTTTTTCTTCTTTTCTTTGTTTTTTTTTTTCCCCCCCAATGGGTATCTTTATGCTGGGGGTGACTCCGACAACCAAGAACACAAAAGAAGCACAAAAAGATTGCCATCCACAAATTCTGGTGGCTTGACGGACAGAACCTGGGCAGTTCTTCAGGAGCAAAGGTCACCCTTGTCTGTATTTTCTGAATAGAAAATACTAAAATTTTAAAAAAGGTCCCCCTTGTCTGTATAGAAAAACTGAAATTGAAAAAAGGTCCCCCTTGTCTGTATTCTACGTTTCCAGCCATTGATCTTCATAATCTATGTTCCACAGAGAAAGAATCCTGACAGTGAAATCTCACCCCCATTCCCTAGAATGCATCCGGTAGAGGACCAATACCCCTCACATCACAGTCAGGAAAAAAAAAAAAAAAAAAAAAAACTTATTCCGCAGGCCTCGGCGACCATAGGTGTCATTTCCTTTGCCAATAGGGGAGAGGTGGTCCATTTGCAAGCTTGGGCTCAAGATGGGTTGGATCGAGGGTGTACTCATACGAGAACTTTGCTGGATGTACCAGGCCGCAATTGCAGCTGCTCCTGGATGCACCCGACCACAAATAAGTCCAGAAACCAGTCCCAAAAAAAGGACACCAATTGAGAGTAAGCTTCCCGACAGCAGGATAATCCCTGAGGAAGGATTGAGGTACAGGAGAGGGTTGAGCCGAACCAGCCCCCCCTCTTGCCTAAGCGGCTTGAGCCACAAGGGTAGGCTGAGTCGAGCCACAAGCGTAGGCTGACTTTCTTCTCTGTCTAATCCCCCCGGTTGCTTGTTCAAAAAACATTGGCTTGCCGG